TGATTGAATTGCGAAAGGTACACTTTAATGATTTGTTCTATTTTAAACCGATAATCTTATTAAGAGAAATAGATAATATTATTTTTTATATTTTATAGTTAACATGCTCGCACAACATTGTGACTTAATTGAAAATGTTAACTTCAAAATCCCTTTTTTTTTTGACAGGTTGGATTGCTTTTGAATTTAATTTTTTTTTAAAGGCTTCTATTTAAAACATCAACTTTGTCAAGAAAAATAGTCTAACTGTCTAAGTTGTTATACCTTAGTTATTAAATTTATATAAACAACATGGCATCTTACCCTCGACAGGTACAAAGCTAATTGTAAACTTGTGCAAATTACATAGAGACCCTCGAGTATGGTTCGACCCATTGGAGTTTAAGCTAGAGAGATTCCTCACTACTCATAAAAATTTCGACGTGAAGGGTCATAATTTTGAATTGCTCCCATTTGGAGCTGGTAGAAGAATTTGCGCTAGCACAACTTTTGGCCTTCAGATGTTACATTTAATCCTGGCTAATTTACTACATGCATTTGAACTTTCAACTCCTTTAGATGGACTAACTAGTATGAAATCTACCCCTCTGGATGTTCTTCTTTCCCCAAGATTATCTCCAAGTCTATATTAAGTGGAAAAGACGTCGACGATAATGTATTTCATCATTTTTTGTAATATATGAGTGTGTGAAGATGAAATCGAATAAGGTTCAATGAACTTGGCTATCCCACATGAATTATCTTTAATTAGTCTTTGAATAAGAATGATGAATCTAATCAACTGGTTAGAATATATGTACACTCAATATACGTATACATGTTTAAGACATTGAGTAGCATGCATGAATTACTAGTAAGGAGCTTTTGTATTGTAAACCCCATATATTAAGAGTTTGAAAGTCTATATTTCATTTGAGAGGTGTTCTCCTGAAAATTCTATCTTTTTGGTCTATTCCATCGAATATTGGTTTATCTAGTTACGTGTCCTTGTTAGATTACTTGGATTGAGAGTATTCTATCGATTCTTCACTTATTTTCTTTCAGTCTTCTATCTAACTTGATATCAATTATAAAAGTGATTCAAGTACAAGTTCTCTTCGATGTCTATTCTCAAATAATTCCTTTAAACTTTACTAGGAAAGCCATACAAGAAAACTATAGGCAAAGAAAAAGAATTCTGTATTGGAAAAGAAATTTTTCTCATTAAAACCGTGTTATGAAAATCCAGGTTATAGTATATTCCTCGATCAAAGAAAAAAAGTAGAACAATTATTTGTTTCCACTCACAATAACATCATCCACGATCTTCAAGCCGATGCATTCTAAAAAAACATCATCTATGATCTTCAAACCGATGCATTCTAACTATTGTGTTCCCAAATATTTGTTGGTGAGAAATAAGTCCGCGCTTAAGCTTAAGGGGTGGATCACTTAAATGATGATGCTCGAAAGCTGTAAAAGGTTTAGACTGCCTCTCACTCTACACTAACTAATACATTTGTGTCTTATGTTCTTCAATAATTTGTTAAAATTCATAATATAATGGGCAAAAAAAAAAAAAAAAAGATTATAATTACTTATTCATTTTTCTTGAAAATTAAAGTCAGTGCTAATTGTTTTCCTAATTAAAGCCTATGCTTCCATCTTCTTTCTTGATTCAAAGATCCTTTGAAGTTTTCGTACAATATCCTTGATGTTTTTAACTTTACTAAGAATTGGTCTAAAATTTCAATGTTTGTAAAGCTAAATTGTATCTAGAAATTAGAATGGCCGTCTCTCGTTATAAAATCAATACAAATCTATAAGTTCAATACTAATAAAGCTAAATTGTAATGGAGAAGCGCATGTTTTGTGCATTCAACTTTATAATTTTGAGTGGTCGAGACTGGAGAGAGTGCCGAAAGTTTGTATTTTGAGTGAATCGATCATTCCCCTTCTGTGGATATGGGTGATTTTTCTATCTCGCATCTCTTTTTCTTATCCAACGCAATTTTTTTCACATGAAGTATTTAATTTTGTTCTCGTACCCAAAATTAAGCAAGTTAATCCACGTGTAACGAATAGTTCAAATCATTAAAGTAAACTTAACATATAGTCTTACTGTTGATCTTGATAAGTCTGTTTGAAAGGTGTGTTTTGATAAAATTATCTGCAGTAGATTTGATAGGAGTTAATGGAGTGTATAACTGAAGTGGAGTGCACATTTAAATGACAATGTGCAATTAATTAAAGTTCATCTACTAATGACTAATACTTTCTTTCAACGTACTTCAAGTTACGTCAACAGTATATGTTTCGTCTTTTATATAATTCGATCATTGACTATATATAATATTCCAATGAATTTCAAAAGATACTCAGTTGCGGGTCATGTTATGATGTTTTGAGAAGATAAGAACGACTCTTCCAAATCAATTTCAAAAGAAAGTGAGACAAAAACATGGCCTACACAAGAAAATAACTTCTCGCGTTTCCAATCATACAATGATGACAAGTTAATCATGAATCTGTATGTTGACTTAAGCCCCTGTTTGATGGCCATTATTTTGAGAAAATAGAGTTTTGAATGAGCAGATAAAAAGTATGAAAAAAAAATTTGAATTTACGTACAAAATATTTTACTGTGTAAATGTGTAATTAAAAATAAGTGCGAGAATTAAAGAGTTTTGAAATAATAGTTGTCAAACAAGAGCTTAATAATCTTTATCATGTAAGCCATTAATTTAATGAATGTAGAGCTTGTTTGCTAGGAATTCCATGTTAATTAAAAAAATTATATATATATATAAATTTTTTTCTATTCGATACTTTAAAGAATTCCATGTTAATTAAAACACAAAATACAAGACAACTATTTAGCAAGGAACAAGTAAATTCAATTTCAATAAAAAATGAATATGAATATAATATAGCTACATATTATAAAAATGAATTATATATATATGTTAATTTGCAACTAGAAGATAATATTTCAACAACAAGAGATGTCGAAATTTCAACTTTTGTTATTAACAACTTGAGCCTTGCTGATCAGACCCTTGTTGGGCTACTTCGACCTCATCACAATTGAGGCACTTAAGCAACTCCAGGACTTTGGCCTACAAGATACAGAACTCTCAAAGTTTATTCACTTTGATATGAAATGTATGAAAGTTCTTAAAAGAGAAGATTTAACAAGCTAGCTACGATTGTAACCGATGTTAAAAGGGTGTCAACGACGTTTGTGGCACGGTCTGGCTACATAAGATTTAGATAAGAAAATGGATAATGGATAATGAACGTTGAACTATTAAATGTTAAGACAATTTAAGCAGGCCCCACTTTGCTTAAACTTTGAATATGCAATGTAAGACAATGGTAGGATTTATGTACTAAGACATTGTTAGCATAGAAGGGTAAAATCGCCATTTTGTTGAAAAAATGGTTGAAAATGACATTTTGCGCAATGAAATGTGAAAGGTATGGGTGAAAATATCAAAAAATGAAATGTATAGATGTTTTTCACATGACATTGAAAGGTAGGGACATTCTGTGCTATTTACCCTTCACTAAAATAATGAAAGATGGTAAAATACTATTTATTTAACTTTCACAATGTTATGAACTAAGTTGTGTGTATACTCAAAAGGGCAATTATTCTTGGCCAGACTCAAAATCAGTATGCCATGCAATGATTGTCCAATTTAAGTTGACTAAGCCCTTGTTTGTTGCATATTTTGGGAGTAAGAATGTATTTTTATTGTTGATGTGATTGAGAATATGTGGTTGAAAAAGAAGGAAAAGTTATTGATGTGATTGAAAATATTATTTTATTGAAAAATGTGTGGTAGAAATGAGTAAAAGAATGAGAATGAGAAAAGGCTAAGCAAATGTTTGACCTTGTCAACTTGTGCAAATCCAACTGAAACCACACAACTTGAGCCTTGCTGAGTGGAGCCTTGTTGGGCCACTTTGAGCTCATGATAGGTAAGTGTTTGTGAATTAATGGGGAATAAATTAGTAATATTTATGAATTTTATGAAATATGCGGATAAAAAGTAAAATTATTAATTGTAAATAATTTATAAATATTAGCCAAACAAATGAGGAGTGGGTTTCTAGTCGACAAGTTGCAAAACTCAAGCTTCATCCACTTTGATATGAGATGTAAGAAAGCTCTGAAATAAAACAAAACAAAGGTCTCGTTTGTGATGCGTGTTAAATGGATCTTAGTGACATTTGTGGCAGGTTTTAGTTGCAATAGTCATATGAACATTGAATTTATTAATGTAAATACAATTTAAGTAGGCCACACTCTACTTTTCTTGTGCAATCTAATTTCAGGCAGGCTGATTTAAAATATCACGGGATTAAGACCTTTGTTAGCCGAGTTTAAAAGCTTTACTTATACGTAATTTTTTAAAAATGAAATAAGTTTTTGATTAATTAAATATGAAAATAAGTAAGGTAATTATAACACTTGTAATAAAGTTAAGCACGACAAACATGTCAAGTAACCTTTTTTTTTTTTACCTGAAAAGTACCTAAAAAAAAAAAATGCTAAATATGCTTAAAAACAATTATAAATCTAAATTTTACCGTTTTAAAGTTTAGGCAACCATGGCGTAGTTTCTGTAAAACCAAATTTTCTGATTAAAAATGGGAACTTTGATTTCAAAATTACATCTGAAAAAATAAGTAACTAAAAATAAATTAGGCTTAGTTTTTAAGATGATCAAGCGTACAAATAAATTATTTTTGAAACATGCGTAGATAATTTAAGTTTTTTCTTTTAAGTGATAATTTTTTTTTTAAATTTTAAAAGTATCTCTTACCACTCAAAAGAAAAAAAAAAAGCAACTTACTATTTTTCGACTTTTGATAATAAAAATAGTCAATTTTATAACTAATTTACTTATGAGCAAACTTTTTAAGCTTCACCGAGCAAGCTTGCTTATATATGAGCCCCATAGGCCATATCAACAAATTAACTAGGCCGCCAATCCTTGGTCAAGACAACCATGGAATTCTCGGTCTCACATGTCAACTCTTCCATAGCTGCAATATTTGCGCTACTTTTGATTTTGTACTGGAAATCTAGGTCTAAAGCTAGCAAAAACAGTGCACCGCCGGAAGCGGGCGGCGCATGGCCCGTTATAGGCCACCTCCACCTCATAGGAGGTGGCTCACGTCTTCCACACATCACCCTGGCAGCAATGGCGGACAAGTATGGACCAGTCTTTACAATCCGGCTCGGAGTGCATAAAACCCTAGTGGTGAGCAGCTGGGAATTGGCTAAAGAATTGTTTACCACCTGGGATGTAACTGTATCTTCACGTCCAAAGTTTCTTGCGGCCAAACACATGGGCTATGACTTCGCCATGTTTCCATTCTCCCCTTATGGCACTTATTGGCGCGAACTGCGCAAACTAATAGCTGTGGAATTATTCTCTCTCCGCAGACTGGAGCTCCTTAAACATATTCGTGTTTCTGAAACTGAGGTATTGTCAACCAACTTATCTAAAAGGTTAAAATCCTACAGAATGACCACAAGTATTTATTTCAAACTTGTCTCTAACATACCATTCATCTGGAGTCTGGATTCAATATTTATGATCAAAGGTATGATATGTGCGTAATTTTTATAAATTGGAGATGGCGAAACTTAAACTAAAGTCTTTAATTTATCTACCATTTAAACAACTCATCTAAAAGTTTAAGATGTTAGATAAATGCCAAATTTTACTTATTTGAATAATGTCTTTTACAGGTATCCACAAAAGAGCTTTACAAGTACTGGAACAAGAAGAACGATGGTTCTGGTCGGGTTTTGGTGGAAATGAAGCAGTGGTTTGGGGACTTGAATTTAAATGTTGTTCTCAGAATGGTTGCTGGAAAGAGATATTATGGTGCAACTGCTGATGGGGATAAAATAGAGGCAAGGAAGTGCCAGAAAGTGTTGAGGAATTTCTTTCATTTGACTGGACTTTTTATTGTGGGTGACAATATCCCTTATCTTAGATGGTTGGATATAGGTGGCTATGAGAAAAAAATGAAAGAAACTGCAAAGGAAATGGACAATATTGTTGAGAAATGGTTGGAGGAGCACAAGCTTAAGGCGAATTCTGGTAGTGAGCAGGATTTCATGGATGTGATGCTTTCAGCTGTAGAAGGCACAAACCTTCAAGATTATGATCCTGATACAATCATCAAATCCACGTGCCTAGTAAGTTTTATTTTATTTTTTTGGTACCATTTCTTGATTTGATCCTACCTTTCTAAATTTGATGTGTTTTTCTTTCTTGATATTTTATATCGGTCTATTTGGGAAAAAAAAAATCTGAAATTTCTTGATTTTCAAGAAACACAAAAATTGGAAAGCGTTAAGAACTACGCAATATATGTTTGGTATTCACTAATACATGATCATGGCATGGAGTGCACATATTCATTTTTTTTTCCATTATCTTTTGGGTAATTAGTACGTAACGTCCCCACATTTTACTGTTATTGTTTTTTTTTTTTACTGTTATTGTGGAAAATGTCATTACCTTTCATTTTTTGGCATTTCACCCTTATTTCCACAGTTTTATTGCGCAAAAGGTTCATTTCATCCATTTTCTCAATTAAAAATTGTGAAATGACTAATATATCCTTCTCTTTAAATAAAACAAAAAGAAAAAGAAAAAATAATTGCAATTATCGTCCCAAATTTTTTTTAAAAGTGCAAATGAATCCCAAATAAATTATTAAAAGGTAATTAACACATAATGTCCCGACATTTCACTATTATAGTGAAAAACGTCACTACCTTTTATTTTTTTTTTTGGTATTTTCACTCTTAATTACACATTTGATTGCGCAAACCATCATTTCTATCAATTTTAATCCAATTTCTCAATAAAATTTGAGAAATGATTAATATGTCCTCCTATTTAAATAAAAAGTTAAGAATTAATTGTAATTATAGTCCCAATTTTTTTAAAAGTGCAAACAAATCCTCAATAAATTATTAAAAAATTTACTTTCTTAAAAAAGTGCAAAAGAGTCCCAATTAAATTTATTTAAAAAATTAAAAAATGCAAACAAGTCCCAAATAAATTACTAAAGAATTAGAAATTTAAAAAAAATTTAAATATTAGGATATATTCATTATTTCACAATTCTTTATTGAAAAATTGGATGAAAATGGATAGAAAAATGATTTGCACAATCAAATTTGTGATTAAGGGTGAAAACGTTGAAAAATAAAAAATAAAAATGAAAGGTATGGATGTTTTTCTCAATAACGGTAAAAGATATGGATATTATGTATTAATTACCTTTTTAATAATTTATTTGTAACTTATTTGGCTTTTAAAAAAAGTTTGGGACAGTGGTTGCAATTAAAATTTTTTCCTTTTTTTTTGTTTTATTTAAAGAGAGTAGTACATTCGTTATTTCAGATTTTTTAATTGAGAAAATATGTGAAAATGACATTTTGCGCGATAAAATGTCAAAATAAGGGTAAAAATGTCAAAAATGAAAGGTATGAACGTTTTCCACAATAAAAATGAAAGGTAGGGACGTTATGTGCTAATTACCCGTTTAATTAATACTGGAGCTCAATTGTATACATCCGACTTAATTGCACCAGTGATGAAAATTCAGGAACTACACATGCAAAAAGGTCAAAATATTAATTCTGGACAAAGAGGAGAGTATTTTCTTGTTATCTCCGTCTAAATTTTCTCCAAATTCATCTAAAATTTTAATTCTTGATATTTTTGGTGCTCACCCATCATCGATGTAGTCAAAAACTTTAAAGCATGTCGAAAAAACCAATTAAAAGAGGGAGCAATCAGTGCACAAATCCAAATACAAATCAAAATTAAAAGCAATCACGTGACAAATGTATATTCAATTAAAACCTCTGCGATTATTTAAAATGACTATAACTCTAATTTAACATTTAGCGTCTGTTCGACCTCCATTATTTCACATTATAATGAAAGGAATAATAATTTTTAAAAAAATATGTAGTTAAAAAGAAAAAAAAAATTTGTTTTTAGATTTATATATAATATTATTTTATTGAAAAATGTGTTTTTAATAAGATAATAGAGAAAAATGAATTATAATTTAATGGGTAATAACGAAACCAAAATTCAGACTATGGTCCAGCATGAGCTCAATTCGTCGGACTTAGCTCCGTTTGACGTCTATTAAAATTATATTTTTTCCTCTCTTTTTCAACTATATATTTTTTAATAAAATAATATTACACATAAATAATGACTTGTAAGAGAGAAGAACAAGGAACATAAGCACGGACCAAATCAACACGCAGGTCTACCTGTAAGTCGCTCTTCTTCAAAATTTCCTTAAGCCCTTACTTGCGACTTTTTTTTTTTTTTCAAAAAAATTAATTTCTCCAATACTCATTTTCAAATTCCAATCACATATTTAAAAAAAAAAAAAAAAAATCGAATTTTTTTCAATAAATTCATTTACAGGACTATTTCCTAATAGCATTTCATCAAAAACAAAAATGGCATATTTACCTTCCAGTCCAGCACATAGTTAATAAACCCAGTCGGATCCTCGACCCAATCGAAGTACCAGATCGTCTGCTCATACAGCGCAGTGGGCATAGTCCTAATTTCTCCTTACCATAGCCAAGGTCCAGCATTTGAAAAGCTTGGCCCTTGCAAACCTTTGTATTTTCATCAAAAACCAACTCTTCAAGAACTAGTTTGTATCCAAGTTATCCAGATTTTGACCAGTTCATTGGCAAACCAATTACCAATCCGTTGAAGTCTACCAGACCGGTCTATAAGCTGGTTAGCTGGGTTTCAAGTCGAACTGACTGGTCAGATCCCAAGATTTTATAACTATGGTCCAATATACTAGCATGTTCAAAAACAAAAATCCCCCTTATCAAATAAATAAACAAGAAAAGCACAATACACCAAAGCACAGAAATCATGCAAAATCTACAAACCATAACAAAAATTCCGATAGCACAGTAACTAAAATTTTCATTCTCCTTCTTGCCATCACATAAAATATAAAAGCATGATAAATACAGAGCAATTCGAAGTACTAAAATCTGCTAAAGAATTCTTACACCACTAGTCCTTATCATCTACTTTTAATATATCAATCACAAAAGATCCTTCTCCTTCCCTTTTATGTTTCTTCTCCATTCTTCTGTATACAATGGGAATTATGTTTTTCGATTCTGGTTGAAACAGAGGTAGCTACCCTGTGATTACACACTAGTCGAGGTTAGACATTACAAGTTAGCCTGTTTAGCTAAGCTTAAAATAAGTAAAAGTAACATTTTGTTTCCAAACATTTTCGCATAAGGTACCTTTTTTCTCACTTTTCAAGCAAGAAAAGTTGCTTATTTTGGGAGTTACTCTTTCTTATTGTCAAAGTATGAAACTTATTTTCAAATTTGACTAAGTTAAAAAATTACTAATATACTAATAATTTAATTTTTCAAGCTTAGCCAAATATGATCCGAGTCCCAAATGGCAGTTTCAATTTATTGACTGAACATCAAATTTTCCTATTTTCACCATGACTTTTAACAGTTACCTGACATCAGATTTCGGCATTTCTATGGCATTCTGTTGAGCGGAATACTTTCACCTCGTCGAGCAACCCTTTCAACAGGTGAAATCCTTTGTGGCATTGTCATGCCCCCAGAAACAATTATCTCTGCATTTTTGCTCAAATGTAAGAAACGATAACAACAAACATTAACATTAACCAAAATACATATCGTTGTTAATATATATATATACACACATACACACATATATATTGATAATGCAAATCCTGTCTTGAGTTTGTGTGCCTATGCATTGGCACTAAGTCCCACTATTAGTACAGCATTAATTGTCTCCTTCGTGTGACACCAGAAATGGTGTCTATGCTATTGTCCTCATGGACTGACTAGCAAGGTTTCACTACACAAAATTGAGTGTAGTACAAATGAAAAGGAGAGTGCACAAACCAGTATCATACCTATTCCTTCACGAATAGACAGCTCAGGTCTTATTATATCCTTGGAATTAACCAACAATATATCACCAATATATAAGTGATTTGTTGGGACGAACACGCTGCATAGTTCTTCATCTCCATTATCAGTCTGTTTAAAGAAAAGAAAAATAAATAGAGAGATACCGTAACACATTTATCACGGAAGTTTAAACACTATGCTATCACACTAAACTCATAAAGACAGATATCCACACAGCAGACGAGGCTTAAACTGTGTACAATCCCGGGTTACTTGCAAAGGTCCTCGTCAAATATTTTCATGGGACAAACCCAAGTTTATAACTTGTACTGCATTTAAGATAAGTTCTACAATCTACATAAAATCTCACAAGCACTCTTTATCTTTTTGAAAGATGAATGAAT